CACTCAATCTGGTCGTAGGGGATCTCATCCACACTACCCTCATCTAAGGTTAGGACAAGGCTGTCCTTGGTCTTTACTTGCCCTGAGATAGTGCGGCCCTTCCATTGCTTACCCTTGTCCAAGTCCTTGTGCCAGAAAGTGGACACAGACGCAGACTTGGCTTCAAAAGCCACTACTTCGTGACTAAGGGAATCGTATGTAGTGGCAGGGTCTTCGCTCTTTGCGAAGAAATGCCCTCGGAGGGCTTCCGGTATAGCCCGATAAAAGAGGCCAACCAACTGGGTGTCTGTAACTCCGTGGTCAGGGACAGCTACCAGTTCGTCCATGGTACTCTTAAGTGCCCTGGTGCTCTTCCACTTACGAGCGTGGATCGTCTGCAGCCTGTCTGAGGCCTTAACGCTACGGGCGACATCGGCGAACCTCTCGCGCAACAACTTCAAGAACTCAGTGAGGGAAGTGAACGAGGAGTACGCAACAGGGTCATCGCTGCAATTGGCAGTGCGAACTAGGGACCTTGCAAAGCTGGCGGCTTCATCTCTGAGCGCCTGAATCGGAATTAGAACCTGCTGATCCGGGGAGACCTGTTGCAGATGCACATAGGTCTTGTCATTGGCCTCCCAATTGTCGAAGTTCTCTTCCCTTTTTCCACTGTAGGAATCAGGGAATTTGACTTTGACCGGTTCCCGACGAGGAGGACGTGCCTCCTCCTCCTTGGGAGCTGCCGCTTTGACGCCCTCAATGGCGCCGACACAGAACCGCTCAGTCTTGTCGAGGCGGTGACCCACCTCGGTCCCTATAGCGCCTACCAGCTCAGGCGCAAAGTCCCGAAACCCCAACTTTATGGAACGTGCAGCTATGTGTTGACTCCTACTAAAATCATATTGCTCCGCCTGTATGCGTGCAACGTTTCGGGCTATGACTCGCATTTGCGCTGGGAGTTCGGTCTGGGCGGCCAGCTGCTCTTCTATATTCTTTACGTCCTCTAATTCTTCTGCCGCCTCCGCTGCCGCGTCCACTCTCCTCTTCTTATCCCTCAATACTGCCAACTTCCACTCCATCCTCTTTTCGTCTTCCAATGCCTGCCGCTTCACAACATCCTTTTCTGCTTCCCAAGCTCTCATAGCGGCTTCCTGATCATCTTTAGAGATATACATCGCCACCTCTTCTTCTTCGCCCAGGGATAAGTTGGCGACCCACTCGGAGATTCGCTTCTCCATCTCTTCATCCCTACTACCATTGTACTGCACCCTCTTCCTCTGCAATGGCGTTTCATCATCTTCCTCTTCCACCTCTTTCAACTTCTCTTCTTCTTCTTTTTGTATCCTCTCCTTCTCTTTGGCCATCTCTTCCTCTATCTTCTTCAGTTTGGCCGCCTGCTCCTCCTTCAAGGCCTTCTTCTTGGCCTCCTTCTCCTTCTTCTCCTGCAGAATGGCGGCCATCTTCTCCTCCTCCTCCTTCGTGTAGGGGTTGGTGGAAGTCCCACCACGAGTGGGCCCTACTCTACACGTGAAAGTGGGCCAAAAGACTGGAGGCAAGAGGAGACGCCAAAGGGTCCCCCAGAGGGAGAACCCAACAAGTAGCCCATACATCGGATAGTCATCCATCGTGGTGTTGGTGCACGACAAAGGTCCCACTCCTCACCACGTAGACCTACCCGGACACTCTAACCTACTGATTGACTCCCTAAGGACCACAGGATAAGACCATGTCAATGATGATCACAACTAACCCAAGACTACTCTAAGGCTGTCACTACAGAACCAAGAGCTGATCAGGAGGTATTTAAGAAGATCCCCCAAACTTCGCAAGAATTCTTTAACGTCGCAGACAGGACGACGCGATCAGCTTGGTTCCTCTGGCGATTTCAGCCCACAACTCAGCCTGTCCAGCCTCCTGTGCCACACCGAGCAGCCCGCCGGTCAGTACCGGTCCTTGGAGGGGTTCGTATCCCTCGGGACATTTGAGTCGTCAGACACGGATCATCAGCCTTCTGGGTCCGGTAGGGGAGTGGCTCAACCAGGCCTCAGCACTTAAAGACGACCTTCGTTGCAGCCTACAGCTCGGAGTTCAGACCCTCCACACTGAACTCAGTAGACCTGCCGGACAGTACCGGTCATTGGGCTAGACGAGTTGTTTAACGAGCGCTCGCCGCTCATGCCCAGGTCTCCTACGAAGTAGAGCTTTGGTCTTACTAAGCCCGTGCAGGTTTGGCAGCAAGGCCCTATCCTTCATTCACAGAGTCCTAGCACCTAAGACAGAAGACACTCAATGCAGAAAGAGTAGACAGACAACTCAGCAAGTACCGTGGGGTAAGTGCACATCCACAGGGTAAGGGGATAGGCTAAGGGCTCAGCGAGATATCACCAATTCCAGCTTGGTCAAAATCTTGGTCAGCAGCTCCGGTCAATGCCTTGGTCAATGCTGAGTCAACGCGGACGACCCCGAGTCAACGCTTGGTCAACACCCTCGGTCAACGCCTGGTCAACCCTCTGGTCAACCCTCTGGTCAACCCTCTGGTCAACCCTTGGTCAACGCTCTGGTCAACGCCCGGTCAACCCTCAACCTCGGCTATGGCTGCCGGCACTATCACCTTTGTCACCCTCGCCGTCTTCTTCCCCTTCCTTCACTTTCTTTCTTCTTCTCCTTCGCTGTATTTGACGATATATATATATATTTTTTTTATACACACCCCCGGCTATGTCTGTCTTCTTGTTCGTTCTCCCCCTTCCACACTTCTTCTTCTCTCTCCTCAGTCCCTCCTTCTCTGTCCTCCCTTTCTCTCTCCTCCGGTACTCTGTATTAATACTCCGCGGTTATAGCCGTCTTCCTCCTCCACCGGACTCCACGGCTCGGCTCACGGGTAAGTGACAACCAATCTTGGATCGCTCATCTCTCTCTCTCTCTCTCTCTCTCTCTCTCTCACTCTTCTGCCGTAGCGGTATCTTCAGCGCAGCAGGTAAGTAACCAATCTTGTATCACTCATCTCTCTCTCTCGTGGTCTCCTTGTTGCAGGTGGGCGGCTTCTCCTTCCACCTCGAGGTCCGCTATGGTGGACTACCTCCTCCGGCGGCACTTCAGCTATGGCCGATCGGCCCTGCACACATCGCGCGCATGGAACAGCGGGTACCTGCTCCGATACGAGTGCATTCACACTCCGATTATTCACACTCGTCTTGCATGCAAACAGCGATACAGCAACTGGCGACATGCGCCCTGACAGTACTTAAGATATCGTAACCAGATATGAGTTCTCTTCAACTGGCTATGGCGACTGGGCGTCCACACAACTCACTGTTCGCACTCTGGATCACCCTGGATGTCC